GAATGTGAGTACCAAAACGGCCGTGCTCTTGGATTCCCATGGAGGTTGATCATTAGGTCAACAACTAATTGTATAAATCAGTTGCCAAAAGAATTGTGTTTTCAATTTAACTTTAGGGCCTAATTAATGGTAACTTCAGTGCCTCCTATATGGCAAAACGCAACATAAGTCAAATTCCTTGAATGTGTAAATGTACATGGCAATAAATACAGATTCTGATAAACAATTATTTCAGTCTTTCTGAACATAAAATTGAGATAAAAAACAAATTATGGTGCCTTGAATTCCTTTTTTTTTCTCTTTGCTTCTACTGCCACATGCTATAACTCAAATGTGTACTCAACTACCTCTTTGGAGGCGCTGTGAAATCACAATGGCATAGATTGGCTGGAAATTTGATCTAATAGGTCTCCTTCTTAACCCCAGCCCACCTGCATTCAACTGAAAGGGGATTGTAAAAGAACAAATAGAGGGGCCATGCCAGTAAAGACTTAAGTTTGCCTAATTGGCCTCCCATAATTATGCCCAAAATATGTATGTTGGTGATTTCTGAATGCACTATAAGAAGAAAGCTGATTGCTGTTATTTCAAAGTAGTATCAGAAGTTAATCATATGACCTTATTGTGGAATTATTTAAATATATTGCCATAAGAAGATGTGTTGTGTTATTTTTTCCTCATCTTGTGGTTACCTTTATTGGCTTTTCTAGACCGTCTTCTGCATTATTGAAAACACATTTCATTCAATGTGTCATGATTTAATATCCTTCTTCAACTCTTTAAGAATCTACATGTGAGAGTTTAGCATGCGGAGGAATGTGACATTGGAGCTTTTAGTCCCTTAGGGTTAAACGTGCTCTGCAACTCTACCCGCTCTGAAACAACACACCGCTGACCCCACTATCTTGACCCCCCCTCCCCCCCCCACCGCATCACCCCCCTCTCCTGTTGTTCCTGTCACAGCGATTAATAGCAGGGCCCAGCCCATTCTTCTCTCTTGGCAGAAAGGCAACTGGATCTCATGGTTTCAATCAGGCAGGCAGCACTTACTTCACCCAACTGTGCTCAGCTGCAGCGCTGCACCCAACCCCACCCCAACCCCGCCAACCCCGCCCCACCCCCGGGCGAATGCAGCTCCTTATCGAACGCATGATGCCTGTTCCTGGAGGAGCACAATCAGGAAACATGCCATCTGCTTTCAATTGGGAACATTATATCACCCCCCCCCCCCCTACTCAACACACACATGCTCATAGTTACCCACTACAGTCTAGCTGCCTGGTGCATTACATGGAATGAGTCTGTCTGCTTTGAGTGTGTGCAGGTAGACTGTGAGGGGATCCTGTTGCAGAGTGAAGCAATAGCTCAGGATCAACATTGATTTGGTCCAGAAAGAATTTGAGACGCACTATATCTTTTACAAATCTATAATTTCTTGCACACAGCACACAGAGGCGATAGCGAAAAAAAACAGTTTAATTTAAAGAAAAATCTTTTACCGTTCTTTTGTTTTATTATCCTTCTTTCTTATCCCTGCTGGTTTTCATGGTTTTCTAAACTTTTTTTTAGCTGCTATACACAATTATTACATGATAATGCTGAGCTAAAAATGACTTTTTAAACATGCAAAGATTATTTGCCTCTTTCCTTTTACAGTATGTGTTTCATTGTTGCTCAGTTTCTTTTGAAAATTGGCTCTTTTAAGCAAACCAGGGAATCCAAGTCACATCTGAGAGCCAATTTCCTGTGTTTTTCTTTGGTACGTAATTAATTATTAATTAATAAGGGTGTTTCTATAATGTTTTTGTTCAATAAGATCAGAAAAGTCTAGTTTAGCATTAAAATTCAGAGTAAGTTACGATGACCTCGGGACTTTTGAGTGTTGTGGATTGATTCATAGCAATACATTTTTCAATATATATTGAAATATTGTTTGATCATTTTTAATTCAAAGTTTTAATATCAAAAATGTATGTACGATTATGGTATTCTGGTTAATTTTATACTGAATAAGTTATGTGATTTATGTGAAGCCATTTAGAGCAAGAGTCTGAACAATATCTCAGGCTGGAAGAGCCGCCTCATTGACGTCACGACCCATCCGTTTACCAGAACACAGATTTAACATGTTGAGGAAACAGCAAAGATCCCTGAGATACAGCCGACAGCAGAACAGATTATTGTGTTTTGCATTGTCCATATTCTACAGTCTATGGTGTACTCATATCATACATGGCTCAAAACATTGCTACAGTATTGACTGAGTTGTGAAACCCGAAGTGTTAGGCTGCCTAATAAAGATTAGTTTGGGAGCTGGGGCAATTGACAAGTCCTCTCACTTTCGCCATTTAACACTCAAACTCTGGCTTCCTTCCCCTCCCATGTGTTTAATCTGCAGATCAGGGCACATACTGGCACCTCCTGGTCGTTTGATAAAGCAGCTTGTTTGGCTTCAACATGTCAGCGCTTATTGTTCGAGAGCACACACAAAATAAATAGAGTTCAGGAATTGGAAAAAGTTCAAAGAGAAAGCTGTTAAGAGCAGAGTGGAAACCCAGCCTCTCTCTCTTACATTAGGATGGGATGAAAACACAAACCCGACTGAATGAAGATCTAATGTATGTGTGTGTGTCCAGCTGTCTTCAAGCCCCCGCTGGCACACTTGACTTTGGGGTTTTCTGCCTTCTTAGTCACAGAAACAAGCGCTCTGTTGTTGACATTGTGTCTGCGCTGCATCTGTTACTTCAATGAGAACTACACAAACAATGATTTCCATAATTACATGCTGCAGGGTTGGCAGCGAGGTTGGGCAGGGTTTTGTGCTTAACTAGAGAGCCTCCTAAAACCACTTCAGAGTACAGGCAGGGCTTAAACTGTATTAAGAAAATTCTTAACTACATTTTCTTTGTATATTTGAAAGGAAATCTTCCAAATATCTAAGCATCTTTAAGTCCTTTGTCTCGCCCCTCTTAGAGCTTTCCTTAAACGATGTCTCCAACACACTCCCAGCAGGGGTTTCCCCCCATGTTTCTGTTCATCTTCTGTTTAACATCTGCGACCACGGCCCCCTCTCCACGTTCTCCGTGCAACCGTTACGCTGCATGGCTAACATCTGTGAATCCGCTCTGACCTCATCATGAGAGTAAAGTTGTACAGTGAGCCCCTCTTTCCTAAGCTTACATAACTCTGCCCTGCTGCCAGCACAACAGGCTGACGAGATAATTCACCGAGAGGGAGATCTGGCTGTCTCAGGAGACTTTTTTATCTTCTATTTGAATTCAACTTAAGGGACCTATCTCGTCTGTGTTCTGTTTTCCATCTGTATGATATTTGCTTCAGTGGCTTTTTTACACATTTGGCACATCAACAGCGTGTCACATGTTTTGAGTTGCTTTGCGTTGGCAGCTTGTGATTTTCAGAGGAGATAAAAACTACAATCCACATAAAGAGCTTGAGTTTTGCCTCCCTTAAGAGCTGAAATTAAAGTTTGTCTGCCTCTCTTTCATGAGGTAAAGGCAGATCAGTTTTTTTCAAAGCACATGCAGCTGCCTTTGCCTGCTGATGATCTCATTCCTATAAGCTTTCTATAAGAACAAGACATACGGTTTGAATTAAGCAATGTGGTGGGTGATTCATTTCAAGCCACAACTGAGAGAAATGGGGATGATGGTATAGCTCTCGTCCGTCCTCAGCTCCATTTTCAGACGTCTTTGACATTTTTCCCCGTGTTTATTTTCATTTAAGCTTGTCTTATCCAATAAAAAAAGATTGACGGATATGTTTTCACTACATTATCCATGTTTTTAGTTTTCCTTCTATAGCATTAAAAATGTAGTTTTGTGTGATCACTCATCCAGATAGAACAACATCTTTAAAATCAGTCGTTTCATATTCATAAATGACCCATAAAGAAAATGGATCCCCTTATTTGGTCTTGTTTTAAACAACATCTATGTCATGTTTATCAGATTTAACTTTTATAGGCTTGGGACAAGGTTAAAAATAGGCCGAGACTGAAGTCAAACGAGGGGAAACTACATTCCTGTCTGATGGGAAAAGATGATGAGTGAAAAAAGTAAAAAAAAAAAATAAAAAAAAAATGTAAAGGCTGCATTGTGCAGAATCTGGTGATCCAATTAGAAACAGACAATCTGAGATGAGTTGGCCACACCCTAGAGGTGTAACAATGATGAAATAATGAATTGAAGATGTTTAGTGTAATACAGCCAAAAGATAAGATTGTTCCAGTCCAGATAAATGTTGTTTTGTAGATATTTTTGAACAGCATTAGAAATGATCTGCCATGTGAGCTACATCATGTCGTATTAAAAGAGTTTAACATCATCAGTCATTCATGACGCCTCACTATAGCTGCCTCTATATCAGCATGACCACATTTGAAAAACTCCCATTTACAACACACCCTCCTCTCACGCACTCTCCTGCGGGCCTCACATTACAACCAGCTAAATATAAATACACACATTTCCCAAAGTCCTTCAAGACGTGGGAATCAGGTCAATAACACTGCCTACATGGCTCGAGTGGGAGGTTCAGATATGGTTAACTACTGTATAGGGACAGTGGGAAATGCAAAAAGCTGAGTTATTTGGTCAAATAAAATCTAAGTCCAGGATAAAAATGATCTTCTATATATCATCCTTCAAGACTTCCCTTTTCCTCTATTTAATTGCAGCAGTGTTCCCCTCTAAAGACACCCCCTTTGTTTGCCAAGTACACTCCAGGGTAATGTTTTCCTGTCTGCATCATCAGAGGAAAAACAGCAACATGTTTTTGATTTGTTTTAAATGTGGAGATAGTATCTGTGCATTCCAGAGAGTAAAAGGGTTGTAGGGTTAAAACCTGGATTCAACTCTAAAGCCCATTCAAACAAACACTCCTCTAACCCCAACCCAACCCCTCCCCTCCCGTCCCTCCCTTTCCCTCCTTTTTGATGGCCATTTGATCCCACAGAAGTTGACCCTCTTTAAACAACTTACCATTGAAGAGTGGAACGATGACAATCAAAGCAAAAGCCAGCATTTTGATGAGTGCGTCTGTTTTCCGTGCAGATGATGCAGCCATTCTGGTCCTGAGCACGCACACGTTTGACGGGTGTGAGTTAAAAGAAAGTGAGAGACAGAAAAGGGTGAAGCTGCCTGAGCCGGAGCACTTAAGGGTTTCCTCTTACCCAGAGCGGGACAGGGTGGATAAAGCCCCACTTGTGCTCTGTCACTTTTTATACAGCCCCCCCCACCCCCCTCCTCCAACGCCTCCTCCCTCACTGAGGCCCTGCCCTACACCCCGTCTTCCAGTGGTTACTTTAACCCTTCAAATGTGCCCCCACCCTCATAGGAGAAGGGCCGAGGAGGAAAGGAGGAGAATGGGCTCTTGTTGGGATGAATTTAAAAAAATACTTTTTGCAGCATTCCCTGAATACCTGTCAGTGTTTACATTTATATGTACATTAAACATGTGCCTCCATCTGCCACATTCTTAAGACGCCCAATTGTCCAACATCAGTTCAGGGTGAAAAGGTTGAATGCGCTTATAAAAGGATAAAGTTGTTGCTCTGTTTTTTTAAGGTTGCAAATTGTATATAGAGAACAAGACTTATAAATGGTTTTCATTTCAACGCCTCCTGATTGGTTAGAAATTTCAAAAACAGTGGAAAGGGAAAATCCTTTTCCACCTTTTTCCACTTTTGTTGCTTTAACTTAAAATATAGATGCGATTATGAAAAGGATAACTCAGTGGGCTATTGCTGTGTTCAAGGTTTATTATTGTATAACCCCAGGAGTCTGACAAACATTTTCCATTAAACTGCTCCAATATATTAATCAGCAACTTCAGCTACTACCTAGTCAATATTACAGTGATAGTGTTACACAATATCAGTATAAAGTCCCAGCCAAACGCATGTTAGCTAGGACGATATACCTGTTACAAAAAACTTATTGTCTGACTAGGTTCAATGCTAATGGTATGCTAACAAGTAGTTGAACGCCAACATCTGCTGTCTCATAAAAGCGAATGTGTTAATACATTTTTGTTTGAACCTGAATTATAGATGCTGTTCACAAAAGGTTAATTCAGTACTGCTATGTTCAAGATTGTAAATCATGTATAGGCTAAGAGTAGAGAGTTGCACAAATTGTTTTAATTTCACTGCTTCCAGATTTATCAGATGATGAAAGAGACTAGAATTATTTGGCTAAGGTTAGTATTTAGCTACTTCCTTGCAAACATTGCAGTGTAAGTCTTACATGGTTTGATATTAAAGCTAGCTATAAGGTATGACCAGCTAACCTATAAACAAATTGTTCCATTACAAGTTCTGGCTCATATGTTCCTGGCTAACGGTACTTTAGCAAGGAAGTGAGACTAGCTAATCTACCTGTCCTGACTAGATTTCTGGCTAACCACATAGCTAGGAATAACAGCTAACCTTCTAAAACTACTTGTTGCTAGATTTCTTGCTAACTGTTTGTTCATGGCAAAGAATAAGGAAGTGAGACAAGCTAGCCTACTAACTTTAGCCCATTTCATAGTGCAATTCTGCAACAACACTGTAACAAAGCACTGATGTCATTATCCAAGAGTCATTATCCCTTTGTCCCCCCATTTCACCTCCGCAACATTCATTTTGAAGGCGGAACATCACAGGGGTGTTAATATCGCACAACAGCAGTCTGAATGTGACTTATGTTTCAGTAGATTACTAGCTAACGTTGCTGATTTAATCTCAAATATGTGTTTTGAATGGCCGTGTGGATTTCCACCATCAAGGCTAGGTTGTCTTTTTAGTTGTTGATCAAATCGGAAACTGTGAAATTCTACTTTTGGAGATTTCCCATGTTTATTGTACTTGCAAAGTTGAACAAAGCAGTAAAACATAGTAGCATAATTTGATGTACCCACCCTGAGTGTGACGTCAGAGGAATATAGCTGTCATGTGAATATTGTCTGCTTGAATCCACCTTGATAAGGCTGCAGCCTGAGCTCAACACTCATTATTTACCCCTTTCTTACTCTGGCTTGGGCTGCAATCTCTGTCTGGACGGCAGCAGTAATCCACCACACAATGAAAGGTGATAGCTGACAATAGGCAGTGTCACATTGGTCCTTAATAGGCTTACTGAGATAGACCGTGGAGCAGAATATCATACTCTTAACAAAAAGTGTGATCCACTGTTATGCTAATGCTATTAATCCTTTTCAGTGACCCTGAAGCCCCCACCGCTCAGCCAGGCCATCAATCAACAACAGCCATCCTAGTAGTGAAGACACCACAGGTTTCATTTAAGCCTTTCACACTTCTACAGGGTCCTGAAAGCACCCCCCCCCCTACCTCACCCCCCCACCCCACACCCCCTCTGCAACTTGAGGACCTTTGCTTTACTTTTGTGAGCTACTTTTGCTAGCAGTTCTCATGCTCTCTATAAATCACACATCTGGAATAACTTGTGAAGGTATGCATAATGACTTGCTAAAGAAAAAAAAAAGCTCCACCCTCAGACAACAAGAAGTAGCAAAACAACAAATTGAGAAACATTAACTTGACCACAACCTCTTCTTTTACATGCTGGAGAAACGGTCATGTAATTTGACACCGCTCTCAGTGCCCAACGCCCCCACACCCCCCAATCACCCCATTTCCTCCCTGTTACCCCCCTTTCTCCTTTTCCAGTCCCCTCAAACACTCAGCTCAAACAGCAGGGCGTTGGGGTGGGCAATTTGCCCCTCGCTGAGCCTCAAGATGAGCTTTGCTGCAAACCCCAGAGAGAAAATTCAGTGGCATGCCCGTTACAGCAGCCACAGCTGGACTGCAGCAGTCCTGTCACCCCACTAAAACATTAATTAGGCTGTTAGCTTGTATTAGCTTGCTAAGTATTTTTGCTACTGGAGTCCTCATGAATCACAGCTTCTACTCAGATGTCAGAAAGAAACAAGACAGAACTTTAACCCTAAAGGAAAGAAGAACCCTTTCAGTTTTGTTTTTCTCTCTTTTTTTCTTTTACTACATCCTTAATTATTACCTATTTTTGAGATATTCAATACTTTGAGGAGTTTCTAAATGTTATAAAACAGTCTTGTTTGAATACTGTTACCCCTGTATGACCTACAAAGCAAACCACACCATCAGCTAGAAAATTAGCTAAATGTATTTATTTATCTTTAATGGCCATCATTTCTGTAATGGCGTTGGACTCCTAGGAAGGGACGTGAGTCATTGAGAACAATGAGTCTTTGTTTACATTTTCACCCGAAATTCGGCAACTAGTAGCATGTTATCCAGGAAAAAGGAAACATGAGTTCATTTTTTAAACAATGCATTCGAATCATCATCATTAAACCATCTTCTTCCGAGACATTTTTTAGTCTATTATGCCTGAAATATTAATTAAATACTCTTCTAGTCATGAGTGTATTAACTCCATGCAAGTCAAGTAAGGAATTGTGCTCATCACATGGGTCATAGCAGAAGTAAACAAGACCCCAACTTAAATCATCCTCATCTATATCAATCATTATTTGTATATCGCAATTCATAACAAATGTTATCTCCAGACACTTTACAAAAAGCAGGTAAAGGACTCTTCTGTTATATTATCTGCAAAGACCCAAAACCAATCCATCATGAGCACTAAGCGATGGTTGGTAAAGTTACAGTGGCAAGAAAGAACTTCCTTTAAGAGGCAGAAATCTTGAGATTTCTTGCAGTTTGTTTATTTTAAGCTTCATTGAATTTGAAGCATGAGTGGCAGTGCAAAAAACAAAAAATGCAGTTCCTCAGTTGTCCACTTGAGGCGCCTCCAAATGACCCAGAAGTCCCAAAAACACACCATCTTAAAATGTAAATTTTGACAGCAGAAAAAATCAAGTTTACAATCTGGTACCAAAAAAACCTTTCAGTCTGAATAGCTTGTATGTTTATGGGCTCACACTTAAAATGGGTTTAATTGTGTTTTACTCATCCCTAAGACTTAAGGCCTGCCTTAGCTCCAGCTGTTTACCTACTACTAAGTTGATCAGTTAATTTGACGTGTCTGCTGTAACGACAGGGCATTTTGATAAGGGACCTCAGTGGGATCCCTCTGGTTTGGGAGCCAGGCTCAAGTGGACACACTAGGAACTGCAGTTTTTTACACTTCCAAATTGGCTTAATTTTCCAAAACCAGAGGTTGCCAGTTATTTTAAAAGCACAACATAGACAAAAATTCAATTTTTATACTTAAGGCTTAAACTTTTGTCCCCACAGGGAGCACCAAAATCAACACCAAAAGAATATCCTCACTGCTGCTTAAAGTAAACAGAGTTAAGTACATCTTTTGTGTCTCTGAAACTTGAAGGTAAGGATAAACATTCGTCTGTGAGCACAATCAGAACTCCTTTTTTAGACACCAAACTTCCTCATCCCGGCCTTTCTTTGTGTCAGCGTTTGCTCTGAAGTGTCACGGAGTAGCTCATCATGGTCACACAGGAAACCAGCACAGACACCAAGTGCATTCCTCGTCGACCTTTACAGAACACCAATCTGGAAAACATTTCTACCGCTGGCATCCTGTGATTTAAAGCCCATTGGCCTGCCTTCATATGGCTTTATTTGTTTATAGTGTATTGACTGTTCTTCACATCTGCTGCCGCTTATAGAGTTTGAAAACATACCCTCCCTTCACCTTGTAGCTGCTGCAGTGTTTTTCTTCACTTACAGTACATCACATTATCATAAATCTGCTGCTGTTGTAGATTGTTTCTGACAGCAGTGTGTATTTTGGTTGAGGTAACAAGTGTGTTTTAAACAGATTTGAGACCTTCTTTTTAGCTTCATGCTTTGATGGAGGCTGTGTGTGTGTGTGTGTGTGTAAAAGCGTTCTGAATTGTATAATCGTGGGTCCCGGGAGAGTATAGGAAACCGGTTTAGATATCAAAAGAGAGCGTCGTGCTTTTGTGCTTGTACTTTCTCACGAGGACTCCCTTTAAGATTTCCCTCTATACTTGGAAAACCACAGAAATCCAGAGCTGGTGCCAAACATTTTGTGAACAATCATTTTTATACTTTTATTCATGATGCTTTTTCTTTCTTTCTTTCTGTCTTTTCAGAGCAGATATAGTCACACATGAAAAAAAAAACCTGTTTCTAATCTCAAACATCAACTTCATAGCTTCTTGAAGGCTTGCATGCAGTAAGGAAAAG